TGGCATAACATACATGCATGCATGCATACGTACGTACGTACTTACATACATTAGTGCCAACAATTTAGGAACCCACAAGACAGGCCCAAACAGTTGGACGAGTCCTAGTTTGGGCACATTCCTATCTCATGATCATCCCTCCCACAGATCGGGTGACATTTCATGGGTGCCTCTCGCAGAAAAACGACCAGCATGTCAAGCCGATTTGCTGTCGCATGCAGCTCCATTTCAGCATCTGGTGCTTGGCGGGTCTGGCAGCCGATTCACCGAACTTGCGGAATCTGCTCGTCTATCCTCGTTGTGAGATGGTGTACTTTCCATGCAGTTCGCACCATCCCCCAATTCTTGGGGGGGGGGGAAGGGGGGGTTGGACAGGGATTTGGTTCAGTCGCCAAGTCGGGCCGTTTGACGCTTGGGCGAGGCCTCCGAAGAGTCGGCGGTAAAGCTGCAGGACAGGCGAAGGGAGCGGCATTGCTTTCATTGTACGAGGATAGATTTCAGCCATGAAGCCATCCAACACTGGCAGCCGAAATGGATCTGGCGGGATGATGCTTATTATCCGAGGGTGAGATTCTCAACAGATTGGAGCCGTCACTCAAATGTGTGTCTCTTTGGTTTATCCTGCTCACGCCAGAAATGGCTGCTGCGTGCCACAGCTTTCGAAACTTCAATATCGGGCTGTAAACAATATCCGTTGTCGCTCGTGTGGTCAAAGACAGCGAGCAAGCAGGCAAGCAAGCAAGCGAGCGAGCAAAGCAAGCAAGCAAGCAAGCAAGCGAGCGAGCGAGCAAGCAAGCAAGCGAGCAGGCAAGCAAGCAAGCAAGCAAGCAAGCAAGCAAGCAAAGCAAAGCAAAGCAAAGCAAAGCAAAGCAAAGCAAAGCAAAGCAAAGCAAAGCAAAGCAAAGCAAAGCAAAGCAAAGCAAGCAAGCAAGCAAGCACGCACCGGCAAGCAGGCAAGCGGGCAAGCAGGCAAGCAGGCAAGCAGGCAAGGAGGCAAGCAGGCAAACCGGCAAGCAGGCAAGCCGGCAAGCAGGCAAGCCGGCAAGCAGGCAAGGAGGCAAGCAGGCAAGCAGGCAAGCCGGCAAGCAGGCAAGCAGGCACTGACGCACGGACGCACGGACGCACGGATGGACGGATGCAAGCAAGCAAGCGAGCGAGCGAACGAGCACGCGCGCACGCAGGCACGCAAGCACCCAAGCTCGCAAGCACCCAAGCTCGGACTAAGCACACAAGCACGCAAGCTCGAAAGCGTGCAAGCGCCCAAGCACGCAAGCACGCAGGCACGCAGAGGCAAGCGGGCAAGCAGGCAAGCAGGCAAGTAAAGAAGCAGCCAAGCAGGCACGCAGGCACAGGCAGGCAGCCAGGCAAGCACGCAGGCAGGCGGGCAGGCAAGCAAGCGAGCGAGCAAGCAGGCAAGCAAGCAAGAAGCAATGAGGCAGGCAGGCAGGCAGGCAAGCACGCAGGCAGGCGGGCAGGCAAGCGAGCAAGCGAGCTAGCGAGCTAGCAAGCAAGCAAGCAAGCAATGAGGCAGGCAGGCAAGCAAGCAATGAGGCAGGCAGGCACGCAGGCAAGCAGCCAGGCACGCCGGCAAGCAGGCCGGCAAGCAGGCAAGCAGGCAAGCAGGCCAGCGAACAAGCATCCAAGCAGGCAAGCAGGCACAGGCAGGCAGCAGGCAAGCACGCAGGCAGGCGGGCAGGCAGGCCAGCAAGCAAGCGAGCGAGCAAGCAAGCAAGCAAACAAGCAAGCAATGAGGCAGCAGGCAGGCAGGCAAGCAGGCAGGCAAGCAAGCAAGCAGCCAAGCAGGCACGCAGGCACAGGCAGGCAGGCAGGCAAGCACGCAGGCAGGCGGGCAGGCAAGCGAGCAAGCAAGCAATGAGGCAGGCAGTCAGGCTGGCAGGCAGGCAGGCAGGCAGGCAGGCAGGCAGGCAGGCAGGGCAGGCAGGCAGGCAGGCAGGTGGGCAAGCAGGCAGGCAGGCAGGTGGGCAAGCAAGCAACAAAGCAACAAACCACGGAAGCCAGCGAGCGAGGGAGCCAGCAGCAAGGAGGCAAGCAAGTATGCGCATGCTCACGCGCACTCTCGCGCGCACGTGCACAAAATCGCCCGCACCCGCGCCAGCACACACCTGTACCCCCTGACTTCCTGAACAGGTCTAAAGACTTGCCAGGGTTTACCCCAGCAGCAGACCTGATGCTCTCCAGGACCCCTCCCTGCAGGGAAGAGCACGGTGGCTGCTGGCGGGGTTTTCACCCGCTTCGCGGAGCATGGTGGGTGGCTCCTGGAGAGTGGGACCCAAGAGCCCATGGCTTGTCGCTATGTTTCCCTTAGCTTTGGCCAGCGAGGGGGGGCGAATCCCTCGGTCTTTCCATGGCTTTTCCTTTCCCAACTGGGCTTCCCGGTTGAGGTGGGCATCAACTCATGTTAGGCTGGGGTATATTAATTGCTTTCCTGCGACGTAGCTGAAAATCAAAGGGGTTCCAGCACCCGTTTCAATTTGGGTTTGCTTGCAGTTGGTCAGCAAGCCAAGTAGATGAAGTGAAAGAGAAGGTGCGTGCATCAAATCCAAGCCAGCAGGTAAAGCATGTTTTTTGACTGTAAGAACAAAAGAAACCCAAATGTTGGTTGCGTGCATCCATGATGCGAGCAGACAATTGGGCAGCTTCAGCTGGTCCCGACAGTTTGCCCGGCAAGAGACACTTGATTCGCAATGAACAGTCAACTGTTTTGACCCCCTTTGACTTCGACACGATTTGTATTCTTGAAACTCGTAGTTCACCATGCATCGGTTCCTTTGCCCTGTCTTTGCGGGAATGGCTTTTTTGCCCTTCGCCTCCTCGGCCAGGCGCAAAACTGGTTCGACATGGTCATTGGATCCTTCATCATCCTGAACTCTGTGACGATCGGTGCGCCCGATTTTTGAGCGGACGACGGCCGCGCGCGAATTCGCTTGCGCCAGCGAATTGAGCGTCCATGCTCGCCCAAGGTATTCAGGCCGACTGGAATGTGCAGCACATCGGGGGTGAGGACAGCGACAAGGGCAATGGCCATGAGACAACTTGAGAGTTGATTTTCCACCCGAGGTAAACGGGCAGGATACACTCTTGGATGCGAACGGCTGCCATAAACGGATTTTCACATGCTAAATCGCAGGATGGCAAGGCGTTGGTGATACTGAAAAACAGTTTGATCTTGGAGGTGCAAGCAGCAAAACAACTGGCGAAATATGTACTGCGATATGATCATTTGCCTTGAAAAGTATACAAAAAACGTCAACCAACCCTAGTGACAACCAGCAGCTTCGTTTTGTTTCTTTCACGACAGCATACCTTGGTAAACAGTATTCTTTGCTGGCCCAGCCTTGATTGCCTGCAAAATCCAAGATGACAAAGGCATCCCTCTGTGCAAACGGCGGCAATGACCCCTGATCCCGGATATTTGGGCAGCTCTTTGGCCAGGCATGAAGCTCAGAATGTTCATGACCGCGAACAGTTGTACCTGCTCGTTCTCTGCTCATACGGGTATTGTATGAGCCAGAACTGGATCAGGATCCTCCAGACTGTTGCGGTTTCATGTTGGTTGCCTTTCAACTGTGCTCCACGCCGCATCTCTGTTTCTCTCTCTGTAGGTATGTATGGTCACATGCAATGCATATATCAAAAAGAGTGCAATGACGGGCTCACCTTTCCCTCATAAACCCGCCCCCGAGCCCGCCCATTTCACTTGTGACTTCAGGAGCCAGACTTCTTCATGGTCAGCGAAAAGATTTTTGCGGCTCCGCTGACCCTTATGGGGTGGGTGGGGTGGGTGGGGGAAGACGCCCTGGGTTCATGGGGGAAACGGGCAGCAGGTCCCTTGAAGTGGTTGCATTGAAGTGCTTCTGAAAATTCTTGGGTAGGTTCCCTTTTAACCAGGGTTGTGGGATCACACGAAGTTTCTCCAACCACTTCTGTGATACTTTTGGGAATCCCCCCATTTTATGAACAAAATCGTCTTTGGGGTTGGGCCCTTTCCGTGTACAGAAGTGGATTCCATTCCCCACAGCCCTGCTTTGAACACTTGCATGGACCCAGTCTTTGTCAGCCACGGGAACACTGGAACACTTCAGTCGAAGGACCTGCATAGTCCTTGGGCGATGGCAGTTTCTTGTGTTAATTCGCAGTTGGTGGTATTTTCTGTTTTCAGTAGTCCGTACGTTTTCCGTTTTGGTGGTTGAAACCACACCTTTCTGGCCGTCTAAAGTGAGTTTTGTTAGATTCCAAAGAGGTGGACGCTGGGGAGAGGATCTCATGGGGTTTTGACGCACGCGGATGCGGGTTTCAGGCTCTGCGATGTACCTTGGGGAAAAATGGTTCTGTTATTTCTTCAGGCATGAAACCACAGCACCTGCCAAAAGCTCGGCAGGCTGCCTGAGTCGCGTGCCAATGATGTTGGACGTGCATCCGCCGGATCTTTTTTTGGACTCCCGAGAGCTACTCGTAGGTAAAACTGCGCTTCTATCCACTTGGATCCGCAGGATACTTGTTCGCACCATTTTTTCCAGCAAACGTTGGTCCTCCCAAAAGCCTTCCGGGTATGGGTGTTCTCGGTAGATCAAGAATTCGCTTGATGTGATTGACACATGCACGACCAGGTTCTGCATGTCTGTGACTTCTGCGATTTGATTTGCCCAGGAGGTTAGGTTGAGCTGTGGCCTCAATGACGTGGTTGACTCCAGGGTCCTTTTCAGATACCTCAGTAGAACATGGCAAGGTCCCTCCAAACAAGTAGAGGGTTCCGTTGTGGCGGCATGCCAAACGAACCGCCCTGGTTGATCTGGATTCCTGCAAGATTCCTTCTAGGATAGTTGCCCATCCAGGAAGAAAGTCTATTTCGGATGTTTTCTTGTTCGTCATCCTGGGCAAGATCTGAATTGGTGAATACGGAAGTCCTGAAATACTCACAACAAGCATCTACCTTTTCAGATCCAGGTATGCCAAGTTTGACTGCTACCCCATGCTCCGAGGCCGTCATATTCACCGGAGAGCTTGCTCTGCGGATCTTCGGTCTAGGCGGATTTTCGGGAAAGGGAAGCTTGTGGGTTCGTCCTTGCCGCCGGCTTGCTCACACTTGTGGGTATACGGGTGGACCTCCCAGCACTATCTGCCATTTGGGTATGACTTCTAAGTTGAACTTGAATCCTTTCGTGATGTCCACCAATCAGTTTCTTGTTTTTCGCATTAACATTTCAAGCATCGTGGGTTACGTCGGTAGGTCTGAAACCAATCAAAGTTCATCTATTTTCCACAACAAAGAAGTAGGGTTTTGAGGGTCTTGTTGAGACAAACTCATGTCCAACCGAGTTCCGATGGCTCTTCTTGTTGGTTTTTTTCAACGCCATCGCAAGGGTGCCGAGTTTTCGCGCCCTCACTTGTGCCATAGTTATTTGAAACCCAGCCTGGTTGATCAGACAAAAGGTTGGGATCACTCCTTGAAGCACCGAAGGAGGAAGACCACCATCCAGGGTTGCTGCTGCAACCATTCGCATCCTGCGCACTTTTAATGACATTTTTAGTGACAGTTCGGCCAACAGCCGCACGGGGAGATCGGACCTGTTGTAAACGGTCATTGACACTCTGACTGTTGCGAAGTTGACAGTCCCAGTTGTTCTGGGAAAGAGCCTGACTGTGGCCTGCATGTGTCCCTCTTGAAATTTGCAGAAACACAGGATTGTCAAGCACAGCTTCCTGAAATTCGACTCGTTTTCTCCAAGAGGTAAGGTGGCTTGGACATTCCAGGTCTACCCTCGATCCAAGCAAGAGCTGTGCACGCGAGTCCTCCGAATGGCTTTGGCCGGCGCCGGGGCCGTGGTTTTATTTTTCCCAGCGCAGGCTTCAAGCGCTTCTACTGCGGTCCGGACTGGAGGCTCCGGAGTTTGGAGAGTGCTGGCTCCCACTTCCAATCTCTGGCCATGATTTTTTTTTTAGCGGAACCCCCCTGAAAAAGTAGAAATCACCACCTACATGATGTCCACCAAAGGGTTCCCAATTAAAGTTCATACCCATCTGGGAATAGAGATCGTAGATTTCGAGATCTCGCCTGGCGGCTTTTTGTTTCCTTCGAACATGAGTTGTTATTCCAGTATCAGATTCTCTGAAGTTAGGGGAAAGGGTTCTCAACCCGTGGCAGATCAGGCGGAGTATCGGCCAGTTGCGAGAATCCCACTCGACGCGACTGATTTTTCTTTTTTTGGGACGCCTCAAAGAGGGAACCCGCATGGAATTGTTGCTATTTCGGAGGGGTGGCCTTTTTGGACGTATACACCTGCACCTGCATTGGGATGAGGTTCTCTAGGTCTGGCTTCTGTTGGGGCTGACCGCTGTTTGTTGTTTTGTTTCTGGTCTTTTGTTTTTTTGCTTGCTTGCTTGCTTGCTTGCTTGCTTGCTTGCTTGCTTGCTTGCTTGCTTGCTTGCTTGCTTGCTTGCCGGCTTGCTTGCTTGCTTGCCGGCTTGCTTGCTTGCTTGCTTGCTTGCGTGCGTGCGTGCGTGCGTGCGTGCGTGTGTGCGTGCGTGCGTGCGTGCGTGCGGGCGTGGCTTGCTTGCTTGCTTGGTTGGTTGGCTGGCTGGTTGGTTGGTTGCTTGCCTGGAAGCTTGCTTGCTGACTGGCTGGGCGTGTGGGTAGGTGGGTAGGTAGGTAGGTAGGTAGGTAGGTTGGTTGGGTCGCTGGTCGCTTGTCGGCTGGCTGGTTGGCTGGTTCGCTGGTTGGCTGGTTGGCTGGCTGGTTGGTTGGTTTGTTGGTTGGCTGGTTGGCTGGTTTGCTGGTTGGCTGGTTGGCTGCTTGGTTGGTTGGTTGGTTGGTTGGTTGGTTGGTTGGCTGGCTGGCTGGCTGGCTGGCTGGCTGGCTGGCTGGCTGGCTGGCTGGCTGGCTGGTTGGTTGGTTGGTTGGTTGGTTGGTTGGTTGGTTGGTTGGTGGACAACACGGCTGGCTGGGTGTGCGGTGTTTTTGCTGCACAGATTTGAGCAAGGGCTGCGTTTTACAGCGTCTTTGGACCTCTAATGCCTTGAAGTTTCCATGTTGGAACAACTGAATGTAGATCTGACTCCTTGAAATGTCTAATTTTGGATTCCTGAATCTTATAACTTGGAGCCCTGAGTCCTCCAAAATGTCCAAACATGAATTCCTTGCCGATTGTACTCCAAGTTGAGCTGGAATATGAATTCCTATGAATTCCTTCTCCAAGTTGAGCTGGAATATGGATTCCTTGCCGATTGTACTCCAAATCGAGCTGGAATTTTGAATATAATGTAGTAAGTTCACTTTTTTCAATAGGGCGCTAAAATGCAATTTGATAACAATTGACATACACACACAATCGGACAGAATTCAATTGACTTTTGAAAATAGCGTGTAAACAGGAATTCCATTCCAAGTATAACTCAAGTTTGAACACAATGTAAGACAGAAACAACTCAATTGGCCTTGGACCAAAGTTAAATGATAATTAACTCCCGAAAATGAGTTAGATAAGATGTGGCAAGTAAATACTGGGCACATATCCCCATTTGGTCTGGAGTTTCTGTGATTTTTTGGCACGTGCAGGTTTCAGAGCTTCCATCTTCAGCAGATGTTGCTTCTTTGAGCCTGCCTATTTCCGGTGTTTTTTGCTGTGTGTACTCAAAACCACTGTAAAAACCCAGTGTTTTGAAACAAAGCCAGACTTGAGTCCGATCACGGAATCCGTTCTCGACGTATTGCCTGTCAATCCCGCAAAAACAAGCATCTTCTACCATAAGGAAAGAACACACCAACAAACACACTGTATACTACAGTGGGAAGAAAGAGACACGCGAGTAGATATGACACTTTCCATCCAGAATGTAGAAAGGTGGGCCCTGGCAAGGGACCCCTATATATGGTCCAGTGTCTATGGCCCCCGAATCCCCCCCCCCCCCCCTCCCCGGAAGGTGGAAGGGTTGAGAGGTTGTGGTAAAAACCATGTCCCCGCCCCCCCCCCCCCCTCCCCCCCGGCCCTGCGGAATCGTGGTCCCTCTCCCTGTGGAATCATGGTGGGGTGACTTCTGTTGCAAGCATCGGGTGCATTTTAGGGGAACCCAACTTGTTGTTGACTTCCGTCCCCGGCCCCCCCTGTGGAATCATGGTGGGTGACTTCTATTGCAAGCATCGGGTGCATGAACGGGGAACCCAACTTGTTGTTGACTTCCGTCCCAGGCCCCCCTGTGGAATCATGGTGGGTGACTTCTTTTGCAAGCATCGCATCGGGTAAATTTTCGGGGAGCCCAATCTAGACGTTCTTGCGTTTAGGGTTTATAAAGTGATGTAGAAACAAGTGTTAAGGGTCACCCGAGCTTGGATCTGGAGGAACAGAGGTCCGGCAACAGAGTTTTTTCATAGGAGTTTTTTTAGGAAGAAGCAGAGCTGAGAAGGCAGAGTTGCGCGGAGCGCGGGGTGAGAAGTATTTGAGAATTAGGCAGCTTGAGAGTTGCAAAAACAAAAAAACAACACGAGTTCTTGAAGGCTCGCGGCCCGAAGCCACGACAGGGCCACGAAAAACAGCTCTCCAAGGGCCCTGCCAGCCAAAGAGGGTTTACTTGCCGACGGCGCGTTGTGTTTTGAACGGACCCGAAGACGGACAGCCCCCGCACAGCCCCCACAGATGTTCAGGTCCCAGGCCCCCGCTCTCCTCACCCATGGAACTCCCCACCCCACGAAGGGGTGGCGGTTGGATGGTTCAGAGTGAGTTCGGGCATTTGGAGTCAGGCGAAGGGTGTAAGGGTGTAGGCTCCGGTTAGCCTGGTCCGACCGGGATGCCGGGGATGCTGGGGGGATGCGCGGGGATGGGATGCTGGGCTGGGGTGCTGGGCCCGGCATGCGGGATGCTCTGGCCGGAATACTCTTCGGAAGGGGGAGGGGGGTGGTGAAGGTCAGCGGTCGAATCATTTCTTTGTGCCACACCGGGGCTTCTTTTCCGAATCGAAGGAAGCCGCCCGTCACTCGGCGCCGGCTCGCCTTCCTTCGGGGGTCCATCGATGCCTTTGCGGGCGGTAGGTGGGCTCTCTTCGACACGATGATTGTCTCGCGCACCTGGCGTGGTTAGAGTTATCGGTCCCATGGAAACTGATCGGATCAACTTGGGGGTGCGGGCCCAGATCAGAATCAAAATCTGGGGCTCCCTCAGATAGAACGCGTTGTACATCTCTTTCCATCTCATCCTCATGTACACTCTCTCTTTATCATTGTAATTTAATATTTATTGCTATTCTTCTTACCTTTTCCCCAATGCATTTCTTAGGATTTAATGTTATGCCAAGAAGAATCCCATCCTTTCCAGATTCTTTTCATTCCTGGAATTACCTGTCATCTATTGGATCAGGAATAACTTTCCTATCTTTTTCTTTTCTTTATGTTTATTTGCTTGGCCGGCCTCTTCTGTTCCTATCATCTCTTTACCATCTCTTGTTCTTTGTTTTCCAATCCTATATCCTCAGCATTTGGAAAGGAGATAATAGCTGGTGAACGACAAAGGAGAAAGACAGGTAAGGAATAGGCCAGCCGCTGTGTGTATATTGGGAGCTTATAATCCCAGCTCTTCTTTTCATTCATTTTCATGTTGTAAAAGCTGGGATTCGCTCCCTCACTGTTTCCTCCATTCATTTCCCGGGAATTAGAAGATAGAAGATGGAACGGGAAATAGAATGGAAAGGAAATCCCTGGGGCCGGATCGCGAGCAAAACGCACAGCCGCTCTGGAGTTTGACCTTGAAGCCAAGTTGCCGAGGCATCATTTTGTTCTCTTGCGTTTGCATGAGAAGCGTGTTGGCCAGCATGTCTTTGCCTCTGACATGATGTTTGGAACTGAAATCGAATTCAAGGTCCTGTACAACATATACAGCCCAAAAGGTGGGGGGTTTCCCTAAAAGAGACACTTCTGCGTGTATCTCTCCACGTCTCCATATGACAAGCACTCTCAAAGGCCGTGTACCACCCTCGTCCCTCTTTTTTGCCCGGGAAGGAGCCGGCGGGGTCATACCTTTGCAGTGAGTTACCATGATGCTCGGAACCACTCACTTGGCATCCTCATTGCGCTTTGAATTCCGCCCCTCCCTAGCCACATCAATCTGATTTGCTGATGGACAAATGCGCACAATCGCTCGAATTCGGACCGGAAATGCTTATAAGCTTGCTTTGTACCTTATTTAGACTGAGGACTCATGGAATGATTCTGTTCAATTGGCTCTCATTCTCGCAAATGTACCTTGTGACTGCGCAATGGACTCGCAATGGACGTTGCCAAGTAGCCATGGGTCAAAATCCCATACCCCCAGTGAACATCCCAATCCCCACTAAAATCCCGACTAAAATGCGTGGTGCACCCAATCCCCAAAGTGGGTGACCCATTGGTTTTGACCCATACCCAAGTCCCTGTCGCAGGTCGCTTGACGTTCCTCCCATCGGATCCTTGGATCGCGCGCCAGGCTACAGATCTTCGATGAGCTCACCACTCTCGTGGCGCAAGCCTCACAGGGCGGGGTGGGAGGAGAATGGGGGGCGTGGGTTGATGTTGACCCAGGATTAAGAAACCCGTCCCATTATCAGGGGGGTGTTGCCTCCAAAAGTGATGAATTCCCACTAAAAGGGGACACCCCCCTATTAATCAACCAGGGGTTTACTAATCCGGGGTTAACGTTACTTTTTTTTTTCCGCCCAACTGCCATGGTCACAACGAGAGCGTGTGTAGATGTCTTCAAATGCCATGGTCATACAAGAATGTGTTTAGAATTAGTTGTGTGGCACTCTTACCCTTCCCGTTTCACCCACGTTTGGCCGCTTTCCTTTGGAGTCGGAGGAGTGGGAAGGGGCGGCGGTCATTTTGAGTATGCCAAAGTCTATCGATATTTTGAACTAGTTGAGTAGACTGTGGCTGGGGGTAGAACCACCTTTTCAAAACAACTGCCCCAAAATTTCGCTTTGCATACTAGTTTGTCTTGTAGTAACTCAGCAGTTTTTCTGCAACCTGAAGATGTACATGACGGCGACAGGAGGAGCCAGGTGTAGCCGGAGTGGAGCCAGGTGCAGATTGAAGCCCTCCCTTTGCGATTTCTGCCTCACATTCGGGCTCGGATCGACATTTTCAGGGGCTGCGTGGCTGCTGGTCTGCTCCAAAAGAAGAGGAAATCCCTTTGACCTCAGAGGGAGAAAAAGGCAGGCAACCAGCGAGCTGGCCAGTGAATGCTGAGGTGGGGACCGCGCAAAACGGGGGCAACCTCGGATTCATGCGAGTCATGCGGATTCTGAGGCTGGGCTGAGATTGTGGCGTGGGGGGGGTCGCTGCTTGGACCATCCAGGGGATTTGGCGCTGTTGCCATGGCTGATCCGACCGTTGCGCAAACTAAATGCTTTCCAAATCCACATTTTCTTTTATTGAAATATGGTTTGTCTATGGCTGTATGTTTGCACCTTTTCTCGCCTTGCAAACACCCGGATTCTTGTGTTGCGCGACTAGTCAGTGGAATGAAAGAAATACATGTGATGTGTTCAGAAGATTTGTCATGAAACTACAGTATGGAACAGTATGGACCCAACACAATGGTAAGGGTCTGTAATCAAGCATCTATGACCATCATCCGCGCAAGCTGTGACCTTTGGTGCACTTGGCACATGTTCTCGTCCGCGAGGAGCAGCTTGCACGGCCGGCCTGGGAAACTCACTACATGTTGACCCTCGCAGATTGCCTGTCCACGCATATTCATACCCGTCCCGAAAACAACAAATCGGGTTTTGCTCAATCAGGGAACCCAACATGTGGCCCTGAATTGTTGAACAGGGAACCACCTCAAAAGTGATTGGTGCACATGACGATTCCCCCCGAATTTTGATGTCCACAGGGTCCCTTACGACAAAAACAATCAGGCCCATGTGGCCCATGTGGCCAACGGGAATTTTTGATTCCACCGGCCACCCCGACACTTCCCCGCCGCAGGGTGTGGCTCGCTCCGCAGCCCGCAGGCTCCTGCGGATCATGCGCCTGGTGCGGATCTTGCAGTTCGTCAACGAGCTCCGCACCATGGCGCGCGCGCGGGAGGGGCCGGTCCGGGGCGGAAGCGCGGTCCGGGGCGACCGCTGCAAGCCCAGAGAAGCTGCACCCTGGGTGAGAGTCTGGTGTCTTTTTGGGTCTTGCGGCGGTTAGCAGGTACCTTAAGATATGTATATCTATTCGTACTTGTGGCATGCATGTATGATTATGCACGCAGACATACATGTGTATGCATACTTTAGTCGGAGGCTCGCTCTAGGCCAGTCCCACCGATCCAAAGCATTGGCGATTATCCGTCGAGCAACGCTTGCGAGTCGCTCGTGTTCCATTGCCTGATTCGCAGCCCTGATAGCGGGCGGTAGCTGTGGCCCAGGAAGCTCTGTTGCCATGCTATTTGCTTGAGATTGTTGCAGGGTACACCCCCAGGAACATGACTTTGCATTCGATGTTAGGCAGTCTAGCAAGTCTATATGGGTACGGGTCAAAATGAAACCACCCAGGGGACTGCAGGTTTTAGCCCTTGGTTCCATTTACCGATCGGGTTTCATTTTGGGGTTACCCTATTCTTGATCCACAGGCATATCCCCACATGCTTGATAGAATTGCAGAAGACGCTGGCAGCAATGCTTTGCACCGCGAAGCCGCGCATGCGCAGTCCATGTTTTTTTCCCCCGTCATGTTTGTTGCCTGGTCAACGTCACAACCCGCAAGCGAACAAACACATAAATACATATGCAGCTGTATATGTATAATTTACTGTATAATGTATGTATATATATATATATATGTATATGTATATATGTTACGAAACCTCCATTGTTTTGTTTTGTTTTGCAGGTGATGTCTGTGGCCAACTCCATGCGATCGTTGGTGTGGACGCTGCTGCTGATGCTGCTCATGAAGTACATCATCGGGGCGGGGGCCTGAAATCTCCTTTGCTTCAACCAAGCATGGGGAGGGGGCCAAGGAGACTCTGGTTCACTTGTGCCGCGCGTTTTTTGGGCTCCCTGACAAGTTGCGGGCTGTTTGGTGGATCCCTCCAAGTTGTATTCAGATTGCTTGTTGGGTTGATAGCGTCGTAGCGAGCGCCTATCGAACATCTTGGGCTTGGCACTGAAAGCGAATGAGTGAACTGAAGTGAGCGCTTGTGAATTTGCATCCGGGTAGGCTGGGGCGGGGGTAAGCTTGCTTCGGTCAGAAATTGTATGACGCACTTGACGTGCTGCTTGGAAACGGCATTAGGCGGTTTCCAAGGTGGCACCTTATTGCCTAGTCCACCTTCTCCCCAAACAAACAGCTGCCCATATCCGCAACAACCGAGAAGCCATCCTGCGGAAAAGCGTATCTTCGAAACTCTGTGTAATCATGTGGTTTCGGCTTCCTTTCGAATGTTATCCTGAAAAAGAGGCGGGGCTAAAGTCACCCTAACATGCGGAGGAGGGGAGCCCTATGTGTTTGGCAAACTTCAAGAGCAGAACCTTTCGGCATGCCCGAGGTCTACTTGTGCCAGATTGTGGCCGACACAGGCCGGGGCCAAGATGGTTTTGGCGGCGCTGGTCGAGAGGAAGCTTTGCACGCCTGGGTTGGCTTGCACTGAGCGACCAATCTGGCTGTGGCTCAGAATGAAGGAGCCGGGGTTGCGCAGGTGTTTTGGTCTTTGGTTTCATTTACCAAGAAGCCATTTGGGTACATGGCTGTGGGTCAAAACCAATGGTACCATTTTGGGGTAGGTGCACCACCCGTTTAAGTCTATTTTAGTGGGGATTGGGATGTTCACTGCGGGTACGATTTAGATTTCGACCCATGACCACATGTATTTGAGCCAGCCATCTTGCTTCGCCTGCCAAGCCAATGGGGCCCGGGGCGCGCAACATGTACCGATAGCTCCGCTCACCACATTCTGCTTGCGCCGGGCCGAGGCATCGAGAACAGCGCAAACCTCACCCCGGAGCGGCGCTGAGAGAGGGGGTGGTTTAACCAGGTGGCTCCCAGCCATCGGTTCCTTAGCTTTTTAGACTTTTAGTGTTTAGTGGTTGGGTTTCCATTTGACTCGCTAAAAGTTAAACTTTTAGCAGGGGATCTGAGGGCAGCCCAGGTTTGATTGGCGTTGGCCAAGCTTTCGCATGTTCCCCACCGACAAGAGGGTTCTAGAGCGTTCACGACATGAATGGTTCACCCTAAACCCTAGACCCCAAAACCTAACCCTAGGTTTCTTTCAGAAGGGGATTCATTCTTTCAAACAGCCTTTTATGAATGCGCTTTTTTGGTCAGACGCTGCCTTCGCACAGGCCTCCGCGCTCTGACGGTTGTTTTTGTTTCGTTGCCGGCGTTTCACTTGGAAACAAATGCACCACATGGTCATGGGTTAAAATCCAAATCGTACCCCCAGTGAACATCCCAATCCCCACTATAGACTAAAATGGGTGGTGCACCTACTCAAGAATGGTACCATTGGTTTGGAGCCACAGCCACACCAAGACATGAATGGTGAGAAGCTTTGAACATCTGCTCCCTAGAGATGCATCGATTGGAGCTTTTTGCCGACCGCATGAAATTGAGATGCTTGAGTCAGGTTATGTCCAGGGTCCTTTTCCTTAAAACGAGTTAAGGCCAAGTCGGCCATCTGGCGGGCGGGCCCGGGCAGCCGATTCCCAGGACTTGGTGGAGTACTATGGCAGTCTTCCAAGAGCGGTGCTGTCGCTCTATCAGGCTCGGGCGAATGCAGGTGGCCAGGGGCAGCGTGTCAACTGTCAATTTGCCTCCTGCAGGAGTTAGAGCCACTGAATGGCCATCTTGAAAGCACCTGGCAGATCCAGGATCGCGAGAGGGGACACTTGAAAATCCTCTGGCGCCTGGTCAGGAAGCCAAGCGGGAACCTTTACTTCCACACTCCAGGGCGGAAGAGTGGAGAAGTGTCCATCAATATGGCTATGATCCAAGAATGGGGAATCCCTACAAAATGGTTGGTGGACAGCAACCCCCCATGAAAAGGATGTGCGCCAAAGAGTCCCCAAAAACAAATTTAATTCCGAGCTGTTTGCATACTGTGGATGGACGAAATCCTCTTAGGCACCACCGTTCAGAATCCCTGCAATGGTTCCCCAACGTAAATACCAGCAACATGCTTTCAACCATGGTTTGCCATGGATTTTGTCCATCCACGGTCGGAAGGAAAACAAACTCACACCCGCGTTGTTTGCCATAGGAAGGCTACGCTGTGCCTCCCTCCAGGCTATGACCGGTGGGGTGGATTGGAACGACCTCTCCAAGCCGCTGGAGACCATCTCGCCCGTGATGCAGCTGGCCCGGGGCCCAGTGACGATTTGAGTCACGCGCTCAAAACCGATTCGGGTAGATGGCCCGGTTAGGAAGGGACGATCCCGACTAGAACCGGTTCTAAAATGGGTGGTGAATTCACCTGGCCCAAATGGTTCCATTGGTTGTGACCCACAGCGAGTCACGTGCTCAAGACCCGGGTAAGTGATCAAGGTTAGTAAGGGACAATCTCCTTGCCATAAATAGCTTCGGAGTTCCGCCTTCTCAATGCTTGAAGCATGGTTCTGGGTAGACCATTTTAGTACCGGGTTTTGATTATGACTCAGGCGTGCTTCCCTCTCGTCCACGTTGCCTTGCAGCCCACCAAGGGAAATAGTTTTTTGAGGAGAATGGTCTTGGTTCGGCCTGTGAGGTTCCATGTACGGATGTTTGTGGATGGCAGCTTTCATGCAATGCCTTCAAGAAGTTCTCTGGAATGAGCCAACATCTTTCCAGACCACTGGAAAGCACTCGTGCACGCGCGAGCGCGCCTCGGCCGCAATCCAGCTGCAGGTCTTCGCGCTGTACATTGCTTTCGCAGCAGCGGCCTTGAGCGGCCGCGCGAATATCGTTTGGGTTTGAGCAGGCTGTTCTTCCCATCTCTGAAACTAGGTACAGCTGGAGCGGACACATGTTGGATTTCTCATGTCTGCATTTGATGAACTCCGCACCCGACCTGGGCCTTCGATGTCATTCATCTTAAGGTGGACTAAGTATGAAACACAATCTGAGGTTTACCCTCGGGCTGGAATCGGCAGCCTCACGGATGCTGTAGAAGCAGAATGGTGCAATCTTTGGCCTTGGGCACAAATCGGGACCTGGGCAGGATTGGGCGCAATTGGCTCAAGCTTTTAAGAACACACAAGGGGCAGGTTCTTAGGTTTGCTCCACTTGCCAAGATGTGACAAGGGTAGAAAGGTGGTAAACTGGGTTTTCCAGAGTTTTCTTCTGGAGTTTGGCAACTTCGGCATTTGTCACTTAGGTTTCCCGTTTTTTGGTAAACGCTTCATTGCTGATTGTGAGTGTGAGCCACAATGAACACAATGATCTGCCTTTGTGCACTCACGTCCGGTGGCACACGATCCATTCTGGTGGAGAATGCAACTGCTTTGTTCTGGGGCTTCTCCAAAAGGAAAGTAGTAGTCTTTCAAACGCATCTTGTCTCCTCTATCCTCCAAACCACCAAACCAACTTACCTCTTGATGGAAGCTTCCACTGGGATTCTGAGCTACAGGATGAAAGTAGATGGCACAACAGCCCGATTCTTTGTTTTTGGGACACCGGGCTTGGTATTTGAAAGATGCACTGAGCTTTGCACAGGACGCATGTGGTCCATTCCAGACATCAATGCACGATGAGTGTGCGTCACAAGCCTTTTGTGTTGGAGATGCTTTCGGAAGCTAGCAAGAGCCTAGAGAAAGCCCAAAAAAACGTGGGAGCCGGCTGGTAGTCCTTGCGGAAGCTTGCCTTGAGGTGCTTGCGATGATGAATGTGGTGACAGGAGATTTCTGCGCGGGCAAGGGGACGGACGGATCTGACATTTGGCTGTGGGTCAAAACCAATGGTAGCATTTTGGGGTAGGTGCACCACCCATTTTAGCCTATTTTAGTGGGGATTGGGATGTTCACTGGGGGTACGATTTGGATTTTGACCCACGGCCATTTGTCCCAGGCTGGGTAAAACGCATGTTGCGATGCTCCGTTGCCCCCGTGGAGCTTAAACTTTGAGCACTTTGTGGAGTGAGTACAGTACTCAGAGGAACTTCTTTCAATGGCACGGGGCTGAGCGGCGAAGTGGCTGTCTGGAGCAGGCTGCAACATGGAATTGTCCCCTGTCGTGAGGACTGTCGCCAGAGCCTTAGGATTCTTCTATTTGAATCAATCTGCCGTTGCCGCAGAAATGCGGATCATGCCTCTCCATGGGGGTTGGAGGGTGTGATGATTGCAGCGACTTCGCTGAGAGTTTTGGGCATGACCCGCAGGAGAAGCCCTGCTGCTGCGGTCCCTAGACCCCGGCCCCTTCACCCCCTGAATCCACACCTCGGCACGCCCTGCGCCCAAACTAACCCTAAACTAACCCTAAACTAACCCTAAATCAACCCTAAACTAGCTCGAAACACACATCTTAAACCAACACTTGACACGTTCTGAACACACTAAACGAAGCTTGAACCAACTTAATCAACTCTGAACCAACTGTAAACCAACCTTACATTAAACCAACCCCTAAGCACATATCTTAAACCAGCACTAAACACACTCCACCCCTGCACCAAGGATAAAAACACCCACATCCTAAACCAACACAAAACAAAACCACTCTAAACCAACCATAAACCAACCTTAAACCAGGCCTAAATACATATTCTAAACCAACACTGAACACACGCTAAATCAACCCTAAACCAACCTAAACCACTACAACTAGACCAACCCTACACCAAGTCTAAACCACCACAACCCCACCAGGGGTGTGTGTGTGTGTGTGGTTTTAGACCAACCATAAACCAACCCCAAACCACACCCCAACCACTCCACAGGGGGGGGGGGGGAGGACTGGAAACCATGCGGGGAGGGGGGGGGACTTGCGAACCCTTGACCATACATGGGTTTGTCTCAACACAGGGGTTCCCACAAGAACGATCAAAACCGGTGGTTTTCCTTTTGGTTTTCCTTTAGACCAACCCAAAAAGAATACCCTCAAAAGAAACGACAGACCCGCATGGTTGATCTCCCCTGCGTGCCAGGGCACGGTATTTCCAGATGGATCAACACCATATGGATCCATTTGCCTTGCACCCGCGATGATAGGTCAAATGTGTCATTTTGCGCATACTAAAACACATGCGACAGTGTATGTTCAACAACTGGGCGCTCATGGCACCGTCTGGCCAATTTCCATTGCTTGGGGAGCCCGTATGTCACCCTTTGGACCAACAACACTGATCGGTATTTTTACGTGCATGTGCAGATCGCAAAAGCGACATGGATATTGACAGAGGAACGCATCTCCGCAAAATGACAAGCATTCCCTTCCTACTGTGCACGCTCACGACTGAGCACCCACCCGCCACATGATAATCACACCTGCTCTACTTCGCACACTCGCAGCTCAACTCCCATTTGCCAAAGAATGAGTGCGGCCGTTCTACATCGCAACATCATCCAGATGTGCGTGATGGCATTGTCTTGGCCGAAAAAGAAAAGAACATTTTTGGATTAAGTTTCTGATTGTGTTGGGTGGTTTGAGTCAGCGGCCGCCTGAATCTTGAGCAATAGGCCAAGCTTGCTTCTGTGAGTTGCCTCAAAGGCTGTGTCACAGTGCTGTAGAGAAGCCTCGACGCGCTTTTACCTTAACCCTGAGGGAGAGAACCCAATTGTTTCTTTGCGCCCCAGACGTATACCTTGGTGGTGACTCCACCTTTCGCATGGAATCCCAGGTTTACTTGCGCTGTACCGGATTGCAACTTCATTTCATCAGGAAGCCCCTTACTCTGTTTCCGAGCAACGGGTTGGCGGACACAGTTCCGAGCCAAGATGCCCAGACAATTGCCCGCTAAGACTCATGCCCATATTAAAAAGAAACCATCCATTCTACCTTTTGCCTTTCCGAGCAACAGCGTCTTCCCTTCAAACGGAAGGAAGCGCCAGGAGTCTTTGTCGAGTCCGCCCTGGGCTCCGCCAGAGAGGCCGGCGGAGCGACCGGGAGTTTTCGCAACGAAGGGGTGGCCATTTGAGGAGGGCGTGACTTTACCTCGGTGTTTATTCAATAAAATTAACATTTGATATATAATAAAAGGAAGTACTCCATATGACAGTTGGCTTGTTGGACCGCCCCAAAGTTTTGCAGCGCAATGCCACTCAGCAAAACGTCAGTTTTGAAACGCTGGCGCATGTGTCCTGCGGCTCCAAGAACCTATGGATCATTGAAATGGTTTGATATGCATCGGAATCGCTTGTATCAAGTCCGTTCACCAGTCGCTCGTCCACATTGGACCCGGTTTATTCTGCCCTTTTTTGCAGAGCTGCTGTCAGCCATATTTGTCGTACCAACAAAGCACTCACGGGGCTTGTGGGAGGATGCGCTTCTCTCCAGGATGAACTTTGTGATGCTTTGTTGGACCTGTGGACAACTGCACCCCAAGCAAGCAGCCACGCCGCAGTTGCTGATACGCCCGGCAACCGTGGAGCCATTGGCCGTTTTTCAAAGCGAAGGACACGGAAACTCGGGCAAACCCACCTGTACTGCTATTGGGTTGGATCTTTAGACTGAACAACTTTTGGGGTTCCTGCCATATTTCCTTTTCACCAGCCAAAAAGCTGACTCCACTTTTTGCTGGGGGGATCTACAGCACCCAAACCCACCTGGCACCCAAACTCACGTGGTGGGCTATTGGCCTCAGGATCGCGAGCGAGAGGCAAGGACCGGCACAGGGCACGGGGGGAGTTAACAAGGGTCGTACTCACCGGAATAGGGTTTTCAAGGTGGACAGCCTCTAGTCGATAGAAGAATGTAAGGGAAGGGCTGGGTGTAGTTTGTAAAAGCGGTGCCAAGGTCTGAAGTTGAGGCATCCCAGATTCTTGCTTTGCCTCTCAGGGTTAAAATTTGTCTTCTGCGCTCTTTGGGAAGTCTGAAAGTTCAGGCTGAACAACCACAGCCCAATATGTGGTTATCACATGTCGCCCTTCCATTTATGTGGATATATGATACACTGTAGAAAAAAAGGTTGATTGACATTGGATACACCCAACAAGAGGGGGGACACAATGCAAGTCCACAGATCATATGAGCTGATCCCGATTCCTACTAGTGACGATTGACGTTTTGTAGCACAGAATATGCTCCTTTGGGGTGGGGTGAGAAACATTTCTCAATCAGCGGTTCCGGATGGAGGTGGAACTCGACGAGTCAGCTTGCGCTAGGTTTTCTGCCCTACATGATTTCGGAGAGCAATCTCACTTGAATCGAAGTGATATATTGACGCGATTTCCACAAAGTTCCATAAGTGGAGTTTCATAAGTCTGATCCGATGCGTCTACACTGAGTGCTGGTCATCGTGCACTTGAACGCGGGTTGAAGACTGCCTTACGCGGAATCATTTGCTTTCATGGCGTGCGTGCAGCCGAGACCGGAGCGTGATGCATGGCACGAGTTCAGCACATTTAAATCAGCCTTGCGGCGTGCTGTGTCGATGATCATTGCTCCACGTTCTCAAGAGGTCAAGAGCGCACGGCGGAGTCTGATTCTCAGGGAGTTGTTTCTGGCAAATGTTGATCCTGATTCTGGTACTGTACACCTGTGCGCTGGTTTGTTTCGGGATCCGAGGGTCCCAACATGTCTGGTTAGGAAGCTGCTTGGATGCAGCAAGCAGCCAGCGCGTCAGGTGGTTCACGCAGTGAGGAAGATCTTCAAGATGGGCGATCAAGACCAGAGTGGCAGCTCGGCAGCACTTGAGCTGAGGCAGCTTTCGGAACGCCGTTCCTTGGCGTTGCATGGGATCCCTATGCGCTTCTTCCTCAAGCCTTTTTCAGGTGTCGCACTCCGGGGGTCCAGGGCCCAAAACCCAACAGGGAATTCGTGCGTGTCGTGTGCTTTTGTCACGAAGCTGCTGTTTGGGGAATCATTGTAAACTGCATTTCACAATCATGCGCGCTCTTTAGACCACTTATATCAGTCAAATTATTCTGAGGGCAGCGTGGTTGCGGTCTGCAAGGGGAGAGGCCGAAACCCTGAAGACGAACTCAGACGAACGCTCGCAGAGGCCTTGCCTGACACAGCTCGTTTCTGGTTTTTCAGGGGAACCAAACTTGGTTTGGCAGCCAGGTCCATGGATCTACATATCTCAATTCACATTCGTGACTGACCAGTTAGGACAAAGCCCAGCCACCTCTCAGGTTCCATGTCATGTAGGATGGAGATTTGCTGTTCGAGTATCAATTCATTTTCCGGGACTTGGAGAAACTAGGAATGGTTGCTTGAGCCCAGCTCACATTTTGTTCCTTCGAGTTCCAGGTTCGGGTGGGCTACTGGGCTAGGCAGTCCCGTCATGTTCCATCTGAGGTGAAATCAGCTGGGCAGAGTTTTTAAAGACGCGGCGGTCTCAGTGTCCAGGAACTGAGCGGGGACGGTTGTGGATTCCTGGCAGACTGAAGCTGAGCTTTGCGGATTTTCGCTTCCCAACTCTGAGGCGTCTCCCTTTGGGTATTGGTCAAGACTATTCCACCAGGAAACGGCTGGTTTTAGTCTTTGGTTTTATTTACCTGGATTCCCAAGACGGGCACCTATTTTTGACCCACAGCCATATTTTGGGTAACGATTGAGGCGCCAGGTGAGTGGAGGGCTTCACTCTATCCATCGTTTTGGGGGCAGATTACTTCCAGCAAGCCCCATCAGCTTCGAGTCGACGCGAATCCAAGAAGCGGCTTTGCGAGGTTGGAGGATCCGAGCAACACGCGATACTTCTCCGACATCGGCATTAACGTCGCCGAGGCAGGTCACGGGCCGCTGCACATGGGCCTTGTGACGCGGGGCGAATAAAGAAACCTCCTCCATGCCACGACTTGACATTTTGGCTCAGAATTTGAGGCCTTGACGACCATAGTGACCCCTGGATAGAGATTTACACCACGTTGTTTGTTTTTTTTGCCCGGAGGCTTCTGAAGCCAGCCCTTGGTCCTGATACTTGAGCAAGTGACTGACTTTTTTTTTTTTAATTTTATGGGTACCCCTTTCAGGATGGTTCTATGAATTAAAGGGACACCAAAAGGAAGGCCATCATTTTGGGGATCGCGGGAATTTTGGATTCGGAAGCCATTTTGAGTTGGGTTTTGGGTCAAGGAAGACGGAGGCGAGGAAGAGCCAATCTTTGTCAGCTGTAAGCTTCAAGAGGGAAACATGTGGACTTTAAAGGATGCATCATCTTTAGCGACATGTCTGGGAGCCAAAACATGGATTCACAAAAGGAAACCGTCCAAGTCAAAAACTGCCACACGTGCCACGGCGCGCAAGCCGCAAAGTCAGGAGAGAGACTCCTTGGTGTCTTTTTGGCTTGACCTTTTGCCTGTGACATCCGTGACTTTCTGGGAGGATGGTCCAAAAGTTTGAGGCTCCAATGGGCCGCCGAGTTTCGGCTCAGGCTCAGTCGCTCTTCGAGCTTCTGGATGCTGACTGCTCTGGCAGCATCAGCGTGCAGGAGACGTGTCGGGTAGCAAGGGCTGGACTTGACGTGATTTTGTTGTGACGCCTCAGGGATACAGCCACACGCTTCAGAAAGAGATTACCGGTGCACGGCTCCAGTCTTGGGACCCAGGCAGGTTGCTTCCAGGGCCAGTGAGCCAGGCAAGGTCTAGTCCAGGAATCCTCAGAACACAGCGTCGCATAGCAACTTCGGAAATTTCAGATTCCTTTAGATCCAGGGGAAGTTTTGACCTTTCAGGAGTTTGATCCCTTTGCTTTCCAGGCCCTCTGGTGAATGCGGCCACTCGGTTCAGTCCGATCCACTGACCGGCTTCCCTGGACTGGAGACAGCAGCCTTTTCTTGTTGTCTGAGAGGCTTCGAATGGCAAAGCGGACCCAAACCTGCGGCGCCAGGTCAGGTTCCTTCCTACCCCGGTCGCTCGCCCGTCGTTTTGTTGCCATAGGTGTCCTTTTTGGTTGTTTTGGTCGGAAAATTGAGGGCGATTCCTGGTTTACCTGGTGGTTTTTTCTCATCTACCAGGGAAACCCATCTATTTGCCCCAAAAGGACGCCTATGTTTGCTCGCGTCTCGAGGAGTTTATCCAGGGCTGCCTCCGACTGCGGGGGCAGGCCAAGGCCATTGACCTGGCCACACTGATCTACATGAACAAGCGCCTGGCTTGGCTCCAAGAAGCTCAAGGGAGGGGGAGAGGGGGGAGAGTGGGGGGGGGGAGGGGTGGTCAAGGGCACCGCCTTCATGGAGTGGAAGGCATTTTGGAAGGATTCTGACTCGTAAAGGTTGTTAGAGAAGATGCCAGGCTGCCATGCTGTATCATGCTGGCTGATGCAATCTCAATGTGGAATTCTTTAGGTCCCCTTTGCCTCTTGCATTACCCGCCCGAGCGAAGCCTCCTAGGTCGACCTCCAGCGGCTCATTAACAGTGGCATGCTCATGACTTATCCCTTTGGCTGGTGGTGAGTCCCGAGTCCAACATGAGATCAACATGGCCCAGGTCGAGGCCGTTCACTTGCCCAGGTCTTTTGGCTGGAGGATCGATTGGAGAGCGTAGAGCACTGCGCGGCTCTCGGTGACCAGAGCCGTGAATCGATTTAAAGTTCGACTTTCGCGCGAAAGCTTATGCCGGCAGCTGGGGTAGGCAATATAGACTACAATCCTTGCACCAGCAGAATTTCATGATGTTTTGGGTGAAGCCATTTGAGTACAGCACCGGGTTGTGTTTGCCCCAGCCACCTTGCACTTGTTACTTGTTCTCCTCCCTCATTCCGAATGTCAACTTCGGATGAATCCGGAGAACCCTACTATTCAGAGGATCCATTCTTTCTAAGGGGAAACCGCCCCTGATTGGTACGGTACTTTGGATCAACACTCGTGCCTTCCCTGACGCTGAAGTTGCTTCGCCTGAAGTTTGCCTTCCTCCAGCCACAGTTCTGCGAGTACATTCGTAAACCGTTGCCGAAGACTGCAGCTAGACTCACAGCTGTGAACGGACAAGGCGACGGACACAAAAAGACTCACCATCGCTCTTCTGAACTCCCTGAAATCCGTGTCTCAGCGACAGGGAGTTGAGTCTCAAGAAGGTTGAGTGAAATCCTTGGCACAGGCGCAGGGCCAAGCTGCGGTGAATGTTCACGACCGCGTCGCCGGACAATCAGCACATGTAAAACCAATCACCGTACCATCTTGTGATGCAGTCGTCACAAGCTCGTGAGGGCTTTCGACCGTCTTATGGTCCATGGTGTTTCTATGGCGCAGAAGGCATGAACACCGAAGATGTTGCCAACAGGGTGCGATTCGAGGGGCCAGTGTGGCTGTTTGCCCTGCTTGTGCTCCCATTTACAAGACACCCAGTTGGTTCATGGCCCTGTACAACTGGAATTGGCACAAGGGGTGACCTTGCGATTCCCTTTCTTGCGGTTTCCGTCTGATGGGAGAACAAACTAGGAAATTGGAATGAGCGCATGATTCCTACTGGAAATCATCACAAACCCGGTGCGAGGACTTCCCTGTGACCTTGCCGTCGCTCGCATGGTATTTTTTCCTTCCTCCATATCAAGTGAGCTTCGCGCTACCGAAATTAATTTTTGGGGCGAAATCACCGCCGGTCGCTCGTGACAACCGTGTAGCACAACAAGAAACACGTGCATCGTAAATTTGTTTTTTCAATCATGGCTGGGATAGATCAGTCAGAGCCATCGCTCGCAGGCCTGGACCATTTGGCTCCGGAAGCCTCCGCCAAGCACAAGGCGCGGCCC